ATATATATATATATATATATATATATATATATATATATATATATATATATATATATATATTTATTCATGCTACTAAGTTTTTGTTTCTCCTAAGTATTGCAACAAATTGAGATTTTAGATGATAGATGCAATCATGTTTTATTATAGGACTATCATATGAAAATTTAAAACTTCAAAGAGATTCTTTATAGACCCGACATCGGCACTTATTTATGCATACACTGCCATAAAACGGACTTTTTTTTGTGAATTAACGACATATTACAATATGCGGCAAATCTATCGTAAAGTTTTATGATATCAGTAACATATTAACAATGACATTTAATATTATTTAAATCTACCATTAATTTGTCTTTAAAATAATATCTTTTATCGCTAGTTCGTCTCTAAAATTAAGTTTCTAAAATAATTTTTTAATTCATCAACAACTTTTGAAATAATCTAAATACTCACATCCGTCATTTTATCCAAATCCGTGACAGATTTTCCATGGAATTAAATGAATTTTTATCTATTTTTTTTATTTTGATTGGCCATACATGATAGAATTTAAATACATCGTTCATACAACAAAAAATTGTTTATTATTATATTAAATTTTCGAGAAAAGTGATAATTTATTCATCGTATTTCATGTAGATGCACTATATTTGATTTTTAAATTGAAGTTCTTTATTTTCTGTATTGTTTTGGTTTCTTAATTTGAAAGTATTCTATTTGTATTTGTGTTTTGTGAAGGGGACCCTAGTTAAACATCATTTTAAGTGCCTCCATGAAAGGTTTAGCACTAAAAAGGATGAACAACACATACAGGTTTTCCGATGTTTGCATTTTTACACATACAAACACTCAATTGTTTCATATTTAGTAGTAGTGCTTAGATATATCACACTGACATACGTATATGTGGAATGTGCAAAATTAGTAAGAAAAAAGGAAGGTCTTTAGTGTTTACATTGTGGCGTAAGGTAAAGCGACAACAACAGGGGCGGACGCAGGATTTCACAGTAGGGGTTGCAGGGTAGTAGAAAAAATAAAATTTTCAAAAATTTTCGAAATTTTTTTCACTGCGACCGGAAAAGTCTGGGGTTGTCGGTGCCATCATTGACCCCCTAAGTCCGCCCCCGGACAACAAGATTGTTTGAATTTAAAAGAAAAACGAAGGATTGTTATGTTTCGTATTAATCCATCACTGATTTTGATAAAATTAGGAACATATTCAACACAATCATTAAAACCACTCGATAATTTGATCAAACTCTAACGATTACGACTAGAGCTGTAAACGAACTGAACGTTCAGTGAACTGTTCGTGAACCGTTCGACAGGAAGTTCGTTTATGCTCGTTTATTTAATAAATGAATGAACATGAACACAAATTCTCGTTCGTTTATTTAAACGAACGAACATGAACAATGGTCTCGTTTGTTCAATTATGTTCGTGAACGTTCGTTTATGTTGTTTACTTATGTTTGTTCATATAAGTTGATTTTATGTTCATATATGTTTAATTGTGTTTGATTATATTATTATATTAGATGTTCATTTATGTTCAATTATGTTTGTTTATCTTTGTTTGTTTATGTTTGTTCGTTTAGCATGTTCACGAACATAAACAAGCGAACATGAACAATGTGATTTGTTAAACGAACGAACATGAACAATAAATCTTGTTCGTTTATCCGTTCGTGTTCGTTCATTTGTTCGGCTACCTTAAACGAACGAACATGAACAAGCTGCGTTCATGTTCGTTTGGTTCGTTTTACGACTGTAAATTTCTTTTTAGATTTTTGATTGTTTTGATCGCATATTAATTTTGTTTTGTAACCATATCATTCATACAATAACAAATTATAATCATGACACGTGTAACAAATGCAGTCTACAAGATGTGATGAAATTGTAATATTACCTTTGTCATGGTATTAACGGCTGCCTTTGAAGACGCATATGCCACTCCTCCGGGCAGAAAAACACGATTAGTACCCGCAATCGATGATATGTTGATCACTGAACCACCACATTTAGCATCACGCATGTACTTACAAACATGCTTTGCCACCAACCATGACCCTGTTAGGTTTGTCCTATAGATATAGTTCCATTTTTCCTCTTCAAATTCCAGTGGGTTACGAGGTTCACCTACATGTATAATCGATGGCCATTCGATAAATAACTATATAACTACCATAGTTTAAGATCTTACGTAAAGGTAGGGGTTGCATTTTACAGTTAACAATTTACATCTCAATTAATGCTTTTAAATTACACAAATTATGAAAACTTTGTGCGAATTTAGTTACAAAATGTTTCATTTTAACATGTATGTTTTTTTTTTATCAATTTATGTAACAGGCAAGCATGAGCAATTCTTGTCAAATCGATTAAACACGTCACATGTAAAAAAAAGAATCACCTTCTGAATATTCTAATAAAATATTTTTTATACAAATATATATGTAATTTAATATTGAAATATTACAATGAACAATATTTTAAAATTATAACAATACATATAAAATATTACTAATAACGTTTATTATGAAGACTATTCCATTATATTTCAGTAGAAAAATGATTTATTTTTTATTTCTATTATTTTGGATATTAAAAAATAACAAATAAAGCATTTATCATTTATCTCTTGACACGTGTTACGTGTTGTATGTGTTATATTTACATGTGAATAAAACATGTATAAAAGTTTTGTTATAATTTATTTGTTACTCATATGTGAATAATTAGTAAATCCACTTTTCAAAACATTTCATATGTTATTAAGATACATATTATTAAGTTATTTACATCTCAATGATAATATTACTCACATGTATGATACTAAAACTTTAATAAAAATTAAGCACATATTTAATTCATATTTGTATAACAATTGTATTGTAATAAAAATATGATACATACTTTATTCATATATATGATAAGAGTTGATAATTAATAGATATAAAATTTGTATCTTATATGAAAAAAAATATGTTTATATGAAAAAAAAATTATATCAATATAGATGTATATCTATACAAAATAAAAAAATCAAGAATTATGATCTACTTGAAATGTTTCAATAATAACACATACTAATTTCTCTCTCTCTCTCTCTCTCTCTCTCTCTCTCTCTCTATA